TTTGCTCAGGAAAATCGATTGTTGCTTGAATTTTCTTGTATATATCTTGAGATTTACTTGATCTTGGTTTCACTGTTGCACTATTTTGGCAAATAAACTTTCGAACACTTACATGTTTTACCTGAAAACTTTCAGGACAAAATCAGATCGTAATTCAAAAAACAGAAGGAGCATAATATTTTTATTTTTTGAAAAAAGTCGACGCGAGCATCATGATGCTTTCGGCTTTGCGGTTTGCTTTAGTTTTTGACGTAGAAGTCAGAAAGTTGAAAGCAAAGGTTGTTTCCTAAATATACTATATATTGCTTTAAAATTTAAAAAGAAAAGAACTTTTCCTCAAAATCCGCATCATCTAACGCGCTATGCAACCTTCGCGGAAGGTGTTCATCATGTAATAACTCAACTAGGTATTGAGAAAATAGCATTGACCGGTCCCAAAAAAAGTGCTTTCTGCTAGCAGTATAAAAGGGAAGTGATTTGGGGAATGGATCATTCACCCAAATCTTGATATGTGTCTTACTCTACTGCGACCAATCCAGCCATGTCTACCTTGGCCTCCTCATCCTCTGAACCCACCAGATTGAACTTATTCGAATACCACGTCCTCGTAACTTTCTTCAATGGTCTTGAAGATCCTGTAAGAACCTTTTTTGGGAATTGTCTAAGGGAAGCTGGATTGAAGGCTTTCTTTGCCGACATCGGCGATCATTCCATATGGAAGATGATAGAAAGATGTAGAGTTGTGGTGGTGGTAATCTCACCAGAATTGGTTAAGTCTTGCATATGTCTTGAGAGACTGGGGGATATAATGTCGGGTCCCAACACAGTGTTGCCTTTCTTCTACGGAGAGAGAAGCCATGAAATGCGTGTGCAGCTCGAGAACTACTACTTTCCATTTGATAAATCCATTTCCAGCTGGGATTCGCTGCGAAGAGTCGGCGTTGTGTGTTCTTTGCAATATGGTTTCACACTGTCACCTGGTTTTGGGTAACAATTAATCCTCTTTTTCCTTTTTTTTTTTTTTTTTCCCGCTCTTCCCTTTCTGATTCTTATCCGCCTCGCATAATTCACGAAATTCACAATATATATATAGTAGAAAAAGTTATAACATCTATATGTCTATAATAGATTATGTAGGAAGCCATATATATATATATGTGATATGTTTGGTTGGCGAATAGCCTTATGATTTGAGACATTGTTGGCAGTTCATTGGCATACCGTACGTTTTCTCTTAGCACTAACAAAATTGGGGTCTGCATGCCATGCTCAGCGAGAATGAGATGAGATACCCCCCTCTCTCTCTCTCTCTCTCTCTCTCTCTATATATATATATATATATATATAATAATTCAAGACCTGAAATATTTTTGCAATAACACCTAGTATTCTAAATTAATTTTTTTTAGTGAATCAAACATCTAGAAGTAATTTTATAATAACACTCAATATTCTAAATTAATTAATTTTTAGTGCATTCCTGAAATATTTTTTCAGTAACATCTAGTATCTTAAAAAATTAATTAATTTAGGATACAGGGTGATACTGGAAAAAATATGTTAGAGTGCTAATACAAGTTAACCCAAATAAATAAAAAATAAAATTAATGAAAATTATTCAAAAAAAAAAGAGAGGAGGGGTATCTCATCTCATCCCCAAAATGACAATGTTTGGGGATGAGCATTCCCTGCTCATCGAATGATTCACAAAATTGGTGGTACATACATAGCCCTTAGAGCAATTTATCGACTTGTATTGTGGCTAATGTCATAGCTAAACAAAAAAATTAAATAGAAAAATTAAAATGTCTGGGAAAAGTTTAAGAAAAACACGCAATGTAAGAAAAAATTCCTCAAGTTTTTCTGACTTCCCTCAACCATTTTTTTCAACTCTAAGCCTCTTTTTGTCTTCTTTTTTCTTTCCCGTTTTTTTTTTTCCCTTTTCCCTTTCTTTATTTCTTCAAGATAACAATGACAAACGGCACAATATAATGTACTATATAAGTCACATTGCACAACAGTGTCGTAATTTAATTTTTTTTATCTCCTTTTCTTTTATCTTTTCCATGGCACTTAATATGGGTTACCTAGACCCCAAAACCCTAAAGCGCCGTGGTAGGAAGGATGAGTGGGAGAGAGAGAATATGAGAATGGCCAAAGAGTACACTATTTTGCATGAGTTGATACAATGTATCTTTTAGCCCTTGGATTGGCAAAAAACCAAGGGAAAGGTTGAAACATTACGAGGGAGGTGGGATTGAAAATCTAATTAAGCTTAGATCTGAATTTTTTTCCCCGACAAAACCACCCTTTCCGGAGGAAGGGGTTGCCAAATTATCTTTTTTGGCAAGGGTATTATAATCTTATATAATTGTAATTACGTATGTGAAATAGAAAATATTCAAGCATCGCCATTATATATATCAAACATTTTTTTACCTATTTTCGTCTTCATTCCCATTCCCATTTCTATTCTTCTAATGTTCATTCTGTGTACCAAACGCCGCTTAAAATTATCCCCACCAAACACTTAAAAAAATTGACTTTCAAGTCAAAAAGTCTTCACTAAGTCATTGCCACAGTGACTGTCGTTTAAACTTGTCAATGGCAACAAGAAAGTCACTGTTTAAAGTGTTGCAGGAGAAAAATAGGGACCACGGCCAGCTGACAAGTTTTGCCATGTCACTCGCCACTTTGCCTGTGCCATGTGTCTCCACGTCAACATGCCACATCACCAATTGGATATTATCACCTTAAATATGGCCATTCCATGGTTTAAACTCCTGACCTCTTCCTTTTGCGTCTCTTCTTCTTGCCATTGAGCTAGAATGAATGTAGTAATAATTTTTGTAAAATTAAATATATATAATAGTAATAAAATGTTGAAATAGACTTTCAGCTAAGTGTCCTTTGGTGGCGACAAAAAATTGCCGCTAAAAGCTATTTATTAAAATTATTAAATATTTATTTTAATTTTCTTATTTGATTAAAATATTTATTTATAATATCCCTTTTTTATAAAAAAAAGTATAATTCATACAATATTATTTGTGTTGTATCTTTTTATTTCTAATTATTTAAGCTATTATATTATTTATTTTAATATTTATTATATTTATAATTATGAAATATGAAAATAGTATATAAAAATAACTGAAATTTAATTATAAATTTTATCATGATTATTTAACTCTCTCACATGCACATAATTATAATATCTCACTTTCATACACACATATGCTCATTTCCTCCTCCTTCCCTCTCTTTTATTCTCACACACACCATATTATCTCTCTAACCCTCTCTTTCTCTCTCTCTAACACAACATGTGAAAATACTTTATTTTGTGATAGTAAATCATATTAGTGAACAAAATTATTGTCTAAATATGATTTTTTTTAAAAAAAACTTAAAATAATAATAAAAAGTTAAAATAGACCTTTTGCGGCGACAGTTAGTATTGCCGCTAAAAGTCACTTTCAGTGGCAACACGGTTAGTCACCACTGAAAGTTTCACTTTCAAAAATTGACCTTTAGTGATGATTCTGAAAAATTACCGTTGAAAGTATACTTTCAACGGTGACATTTATAGTTGCAGTTGAAAATAAGATTTTCAGTAGTGACTCTTAATGTCACTACTGAAAGTCACACTTTCAGTCGCGACACACTGAAAGTCATTTATTTTGTAGTGAATGTAGCCAAAAATATCGCCCACACCCCATGCTAGTGCAATAGCTCGTTGAACTTCCTGATTGATTCGTGTGCTCCAAATTTCTTAATGGTGCATGCTATGTTTTTAGGTTAATGGTCAGTAGATTACATATAAACAAACTAAAAGTGGTTTTTATTAACTTCAACAAATTAAAATAAGTAGAATTCCACTGCTACTGAAGGAGAAATCCATGGCAACTATTTCAGTAACGAATTTTGCATTTCATTTGCAATAGATTTTGTAAAAAAAAGGACTCATTTTCTGTAGTAGCTATTTATATGCTTGAAATGGACTATAGCAACAAATATGAGCAGCTAAACTGTTTCTTAGTGATGTATGAGTTTTGGTTGGTCAAATTATACAGAAATTGTTAATATGTGGGGTTGACATATTTATGTGTGTGAATATATATCTTTTTTGGTAAGACATACCTCCATTAATTTTAATCTAAGTCTAATTCTAATTTGCCCCCAGTGACCAAGAAGTAGTCAATAACCTTATTGCAAAAGCCGTATCACAAGGAGGATTGCAATCTCGTGTGAAAGAAGTACTTCAACGATCGGTTTGGGAATCCCTTCACAAGGAAAATACAATCATAGTCGGAATTTGGGGGGCTGGAGGTATTGGTAAAACTACCATCGTGAGAGCTATTTATGATATAATTGGTGGCCATTTTAAGTACACAAGTTTTCTTGCTAATATCAAGGGTAAATGGGAGGACGATGATAATGGTCAACTTCTGTCACTAAGTCAACATCTGAACCATATGAAACAAGGAACTTATGAAAGAGCCCTAGTGGTAATTGATGGTGTAAATCAAGTAGCCGAACTCGATAACCTGTGTAGAAATAGACAACAGTTTGGTAAAGGGAGTTTGATTTTGATTACAACAAGAGAACAGCTACTTGATAACTTTGTTGACAAATCATATGAAATGAAAAAGTTGGACAACAATGAATCTTTTGAGCTTTTCAGTTGGCATGCATTTAAAAGCTTTGATCCAACAAATGATTTTGTGAATCCATCTAGGAAAATAATTCCTTTATGTGAAGGGCTGCCATTGATTCTTGAAGTTGTAGGCTCTCTTTTGTGTAATAAGGAAAAATCAGAGTGGAAAAAAGTATTGAATAAATTAAAAGATGTTCCAAAAGGCCATATACAACGTAAGCTTAAAATAGGCCTGGACCTTTTGGCTGATGCAGAAAAGGAATTATTTTGTGACATAGCACACTTTCATGTGGGTCGGAGTATTAGTGATTTTATAAATTTGTTTATGGACTCAACGGCAATGCAAGTACTTGTAGAGTGCGGCCTTGTAAAGGTTATCAATGACAAGATTCATGTGCATGATTTGCTACAAGAGATAGGGAGGGAAATCACTACAGACAATAAGCCAAAATTCACATGTCTCTATGATGTATTCTTAAGTTTTAGAGGTGGGGATACGCATAAATCATTTACCACTCATCTTTATAATGCTATGAAACAAGTAGGAATTGAGGTTTTCATGGATGAAGAAAGGATTGATAGGGGGGAACACATTTCAACTTCGTTACTGGGGGCAATTGAAAATTCTAGAATTTCAATCATTATATTCTCAACAAATTATGCCGGCTCTAGTTGGTGCTTGCAAGAATTAGAGAAAATCATGGAGTGTTACAAAACTCATCAAGAGGTTTTCCCTATATTCTATGATGTGCACCCATCTGATGTCCGTAAACAACAAAATGCCTTTGGAAAAGCATGGGAAAGACTTACAACAAGACCCTCAGGTAGCAAGGGTAAGAAATTCACAAACAATTTGAAGAGGGTCCTTGCTGAGGCTGCCAACCTATCAGGGTGGGACATGCAAAACTATAGGTAAGTAATGTTATTTCCTTTTATTATTATTTGGAATGATTAAATAATTCTTTAAGTTTGTTTTTATGTGTTGAATTCCTTAATTTTGTTTGTGCATGGATAGATTCATGATTAAGCTACTTTTACATGCTTACCTTCCTCTAATCAACGACCAAAGGAACATTAAATAAATCTAGAGACAACACTGGATAGCACAATTGTCCTATTTCCTTTTTGTATTTTTCAATGGATATTATAAATAGACGAGGCATGAAATAGGGGGAAATTATATTCAAGCACATAGGTTAGAACATAATTGGTTATCCAGAATATATGAAAGATAAAATTTATTGTGATATATATAATATATGTATGCTTCACAAACAAAATATCCTGGTACAGTTTACATGTGTGGCTCGAGATTACTAAAACGAACAGTTGAAAAAAGTAGTTAGCAAAAAAATAGAGGAATAGAGGAATAAAATATATATTTAACAAAGCCACCTAAAACTAGTTTAGGTAATAAGGATGATGCAGGGTGTGAGCAGAGGTTCATGACTTAAAGCCTTCTAGTCTACAAAAGACAATGTATTTAATTAACAAAGCTATCTGAAGCTAGTAAAACAATACAATGTAAGGGTTAAGTAAAGGTTGAGGATGGATTAGCTATCGCTTAGTCCTCAAATCGGTATGCTAAGTTACTCCATCTAAGGGGCCAACTTAGGTCAAATCTTTTGAGGAGCCTAGTTACTTAGAATTATAGTTCATTTAAATGTCATTCACAAATTAACAGTGATCGAAGTGGATGTCTAAACTTCTGGCAAAAAAAAAAAAAAAGATGACTACACCATACCTAAGCTAATGCATGTCAAAATGTATGCTAAAGCTACCATGACATACCCTGCAAGCGTGCGGGATTGATGTAGTAAAAATCTCAGAATATTACGGGTCATACCCACTCGGAGGTTACACTTTTGCTAGTCTAAATAATTAATAATTAAAGAAAATAAGATAAAATAGATTAATTGAAGAGAATATGAAGGAATATAAAAATAAGAGAGAGATATAATTTTGAGAAAAAGACAATCGCTTATAGCATGTTGAAGAGAATATGGAGGAATATAAAAATACGAGAGAGATATAATTTTGAGAAAATGACAATCACTTATAGCGTTTGGTTCAGGATTCACCTGATGGGTTGTTAATTTCTATAGTTTGTGTGGACTCTGATTAATCATAGTGACAATTATTATCAAAGTATTATAATATCTCCCAAATTATTAGTCTCTTTTTAATCATTGCGGAATTCATTGACTCCGTACCCCAAACAACTAATTAAATTATGAAAGTATAGTTTTAAGTCATCACAAATATTTAGAACTATCTCTAATCTAAATATTTGTGTTTATTTCTTTAGATCTAGGCTCTCACTTCATTTAATTCCTAGTACATCAAGATTACCCATAGATTTGATTTAATGGCAATAGTCATAAAATCATCTCGAAATATTTTTTTTAGTTGCATCTAGCACCCTTAAATATTTTGTGATATATCCAGTACATTAAAGTTTTTTTTAATTGCATTCAGTATCTTGAATTATTTTTTGATAAATCTAGCACCTTAAAGTTTTTATAGGTACGTATAGTGTCCTAAATTTTTTTTTGGTGCATCCAACACTAAGAAAAAAAAGTACTTTAGTGTGTTGTGTATATCTTAAAAATATTTTAAGATGTGGATACCTCAAAATATTTTAAGATGATGGATGCACTTGAGAAAATATTTCGGAATGATGAATGTACCTTAATCCTAAAATCAGTTAGAGGCTAAGAGATTAACAAAACTTTACCATATCTTAGATGCAAATGCATTAAATTGTTTCTAGGGGCGTTTGAAAGTAAAAGAACATAATACAAAAGTACAAAACCACAACCAGAAAATATAACTAAGTCATAAGAGTAGTTGGTTTCTTTCAACATTAAGACATTCAATCCAAAGGTCAATTCAACTCAAAATTAGAATTTCCACTACTTAGCCATCAGCTATGTTCCCAGTATAACAAAAGAAATTGTAGTTAATAACGGCAACAAATGACGACTAAAAGTACAGGTAGCATAACATTTGAACGCTAGTTGATTGTTTATTGAATGCATAAAATCACGGTAGTTAGTAAAAAACTTGCCTTTTTTTCCTCCTTTGTTTTTGTGCGATCAAGGAAGTCGTGGCTTACTGTTATTGATCGTGTACGTATATTACCAATGGGCGTTGGCAACATTGTTAAGAAAAGAATGAAAAAATAATAGCTTTTGTTTAGTTAATATAGCAAAGTTCTATATGCATTGTACTTAATTGTTGATTCTGTCATATAGAAAATGGGTCTATATGTTATTCACGATGAAAATCACAAAATTACGTACATATACATAGATAAGTGAGAGGAAATTCGATATATGCATGAGGGTCTATGGTATCTAGCAAAGCATAATGTACCATATGAATCTCATGTACTTAATTTTTCTATATTTAGGTCCTAATAGTTGAGCTCAAACTCCAGTTATCTTACAAGATAAAATAATTGATTCTCTAATCAAAGATGGTAAACTGACAATACAGGAAAAGCATGATGAAACTAGCAGGAAAAGTTGGTCCTTTTCCTACGTGTTTTCCATGTTTCTTTTTTGTATAAATCTGCATCTATCATTTTGCTGCTATTAAGTTTCGTAGCATGCATTTTAATGATTCTTGGTAGACTTCTGGTCATCTAATTCTTTGTTGTTGCCAGAACTGAGACTGAGTTACTTGACGATGTTGTGAAAACTATCACAATGAGGCTAGACAATAGCAAATACATGTTTGTTGCTCACCATCCAGTGGGTTTGGAGTCTCGAGTGCAAGATATCATCCAACTGCTAAGTAGTGAATCAAATGACATCATCATAATAGGCATTTTGGGGATGGGAGGAATTGGCAAGACCACGGTGGCTAAAACTATTTACAATGAAATGGGCCAAAGTTTTGTGGGAAAGAGTTTCCTTGCAAATATTAGGGAAGTATGGAAACAAGATAATGGTCAAGTTTATTTGCAAGAACAACTTATTTCTAGTATCTTCAAAACAAGACGGATCAAGCTACCAAATGCGGGGAGGGGGAAATCTCTAATCAAGGAAATTCTTTGTCAAAAAAGAGTATTTCTTGTATTAGATGATGTCAATAATGAAGAACAACTCAAAGTTTTATGTGGGAGTCGTGAATGGTTTGGCCAAGGAAGCAGAATAATTATTACGACAAGAGACCAACGTTTACTTCAAATCCTTCAAGTGGATAAAGTATTTAGTGCAAGGGAAATGGATGATAATGAATCTATTGAGCTTTTCAGTTGGTATGCGTTTAAGCAAGCACTTCCCGAAAGAAATTTCATTGAACTTTCGAGAAGAGTAGTATCATACTGTGGAGGGCTGCCACTAGCTCTTGAAATCCTTGGCTCATATTTGTTTGACAGGGAAAGACCTTATTGGGAAAGTGCTTTGAGTAAATTGAAACAAATTCCTAATGGTAAAATATATGAAATTCTAAAGATAAGCCATGATGGTTTGAGTGATAAAATGGAGCAAGAGCTATTCCTAGACATATGTTGTTTTTTCATTGGAAAGGATAGAAGTTATGCAACTCAAGTACTAGATGGCTGTGGACTCTATGCAGAAATTGGAATTACCCATCTAATTGAGCGAAGCCTTGTAAAAGTTGTAAAATTTGAAAACAAAAACGTACTTGATATGCACGACTTGCTACGTGATATGGGAAGAGAAATCATTCGTGAACAATCACCAGAGGAGCCAGAGAAGCGTACAAGATTATGGTTTAATGATGATGTGTTGAATGTGCTAGGAAACAACATAGTAAGAATGTTTTTCCGCAATTTACTAATTCTCTTGCATTTAAATTTCAATACTTGTTTCTTCATTATTTATTGTGCACTCCATAAGTTGTCGATTGTGAGTTTTATAGTTTTTGTTTGTCTCTTTTTCAAAGGGAACAACAGCTATCAAGGGATTGTCTTTAAACATGCCAAGAAACAATTCAATACCCTTGAGTACCAAGGCATTTAAGAAGATGAAGAGGCTTCGTTTACTCAACTTTGATAATGTACAACTTGATGGAGACTATGGTCATCTATCAAAAGAACTTAGATGGCTTTGTTGGCGTAGATTTCTTTTAAAAAGTTGGCCAGCAGACTTCAATCTGGAAAAGATAGTTGCCATTGACTTAAAGTGGAGTAACCTAACAAAAGCATGGGAGAAAAGCCAGGTATTTGCAATGAACTTCTGGGATCAAACATTAGTAACGGGATATGTGTTATTTTTACATCTATTTTATTGTTTTTCTTTTTTTTTTTTATATTGGGACTTCTATTTTGAGATATTCCCTTTACATAGGTGCTGGAGGGGTTGAAAATTCTCAATTTGAGTCATTCTCACTGCCTAACAGAAACATCTGACTTCTCAAACTTACCATATCTTGAGAAGTTGATACTTAAAGATTGTCGAGGTTTGTCTATGATTCACCCTTCTATTGGAAATCTTAGACATCTTATTATGCTAAATTTGAAAAACTGCAATGGCTTGGAGCATCTTCCGAGAAGTATATATGACTTGAAATCTTTGAGAACTCTCAATCTTTTTGGTTGTTCCAAAATTGAAAGGTTGGATGAAGACATTGAGAAAATGGAATCTTTAACGGTTTTGGTGGCAACTCGAACTGCTATAACACAAGCACCCATCTCATTAGTGAGATTGAAGAACATTAAATATGTTTCTTTATGTGGTTATGAAGGATTGTCACATGACATATTTCCATCTCTTATGTTATCTTGGATGCCCCCAACAAATCATTCAAGGTCCTTATTTCAAGCATTTGGGATCATGCCATCGCTAATCAAGATTTTTTCACATCCTTTGTTTGCTAAAAGTCGTGAAATATTCAAAGCAAAACCAAGACCATCTCAAGTTTCATGTAAAAAGACTCCAGCATTGATTGGTTTTGGCGAGCAAGTTCACAAGGAAAGATCAGAAACATTCATGAGTTCTACAACAATTCATGTGGGCGAGTTCAACCAAGTTATTGACACACTTTTAAGGAGTATTTCACAGGTTATTCTCTTTATCTCTCTACTGCCATCATGCATAGTTTAGTTAGGTTCCAAAAGAATGCCTTTTTCGTACATGTTTAACTTAAAAGTTCAATGCGTGCACTTATAATAATCTATAAGCAAGTGTAAATGCATAATAATTCACATTAACTATGCTTTGTAAGTGTTTAGAAGACATCCAGGAAGTGTCAATTATGTTTAAAATAACATATAATTTAACTTTGATTAGGTTATGCATGTCTCATAAGGTTTTAAAGCATACTACACTACATATTCAGATATTGGTTTGTACTGTATTTGCCTTCATCTAGAAATGTTTACTTTCAATTAATTCGGAAATAAATCGACCCTAATCACTTAATAGCGAACCTCATTCTCAACCATGCTGAGTTAAGCCATAAAGGCATTCAACCTATTGGTCTGCAACGTTAATTGGCTTTTTCTATGTTCATGACTTAGAGATGCAGTGAAAGAGGTTTTGGAGTTAATTCTTTTCCTGGAGACAATTATCCTCATTGGCGGAATTTCAAAGGTGAAGGATCTTCAATATGCTTTGAAGTTCCTAAAATTATTGGCAAAAGTTTGAAAGGATTGATTCTGTGCATAATCTATTTGTCTTCTCAAGACAACATGACATCTGTATATTATCCTGTTGGTATCCTGGTATCAAATCATACAAAGGCTACCATTAAATTGTACCAGAAAAATGCAACAACTGCTTCAAATGATGAAGATAATTGGCGAGACATCATCTCTAACTTGGAGACTGGTAACAGAGTGGAGGTTATAGTCACTTTTGCTTGTGAATTGAAAGTAAAACACACAGTTGTCTATTTGGTATATGATGAAGATGCTGTTAAGAGAATCATGTACTGAATGTCTCTTTGTATGAAAAATATTGTATAAGTATTCTTGGATGTGAAAACCAGCTCTACCAAGTGCATGTTCAAATATATAAAACGTAAACAGAGGTGTTTTTAGTTGTCGATTGGGTTTGTTTTTGCAGTGATAGTTTTTTTTTTTTTAATTGATACCCAAGAAGCTTAATGGCAGCGATTTTTCGAAAAATTTAGCTTACCCTAACTTCATGCTAATGTATAAGTTTTATTAGAAGTTCTTGACATGTATCTGACCACTGGCAACTGATTAAAATGTGATGACAGAGCCATTATCTTTAGCTGTTATGAAGTTTATCTCTATTTCTTTATAATAAAAAAACAGCTAAACAGAGCATCATTTTAGATTGTATAAAGAGCAATTATCTTCGTCTGGCTTCACTTGCAGCATTCTTATTTATTTAATGCGCATGTCTGAATGATTGGTTCTATCATAAGATGCGTAACGGAGACTAAAATGCCCCCTCAAATTTTTTTTTTTAAATTTTCTTCTCATAGTTAGATGCAAATTCAAGTGGATTCCACTCAGTGAAGCAAATTTGGCAGACATTAACATGCAAAGAAAGAAGGCAGAGATAGTGAAGCACCAAGTGATAGTTGAAGGCAAAAGCGTGCCCATTATTCCTATGAATCCTGGCTAGCGTGCTTGCCAATCAGAAATGTAGATTTTCTTAGGCCTTTTCTTATGTAACACCAGAGGAATTGAAGAGACAGAGAATGGTAGTGCAGACCAAGCCACCACAACATAAATCAGAACCTGGTTGTGTTTTGGTTTTGAACAAACAGCAAGATCTAGTCAGAGAACCTACAAGTTCAACAGCAAAAACTACAAAGCCTAGTTGGTTATCTTCATGTGGTGGTGACGCAGAAGGGATCATAGGCATATTAATTGTGTAAGTATCACTTGCCTTGGGGATAACATAACATCAGGACTGGTGGGATTAACTTGTTGGACTGAGATATCGGGAGAAACGGGGGGGTTTGGACATGTACCCCAGGGCTCTAACTCTTTCGGCTTGTTGAAGAATAATAACTAAACAGATGTGCAGAGAACAGTGGCAAGAATGTACTTACAAATTGATAAAACCTTAATTAATTTGAAATTACTATGAAATTTATGCAAAGTAATTCAATCACTATTATCATGGAGCATAAAAATGGCATGACATATTACTTTGGGGAAAAGTATCATTTTATTTTTTTTCGTTCAATATTATGTATCGAAAATTGGGTTTCATAAATGATCTTTAAGATAGCCATTTTTTCCCTTTTCTTTTTAATTTGATAGAGAAAAAAATCACACCCAAAATTTTCATTTTACTTTGATGTTCTGTGACAAAATCTTATAAATTTTCATTTTACTCAACATCATTTTGTTCTTTTGGCAAGTCTCTCGACTAAAGATGCTTTTAAGATGAACTTATTTGGCAAAATAAAGAAGGGAATTTTAAGGTGAATTTAAAATCGCGAGTTTAACACTTGAGGATATAATGTAATGAAGGATACAGATTTTGAGTGGAATGGGCCAAGTATGGGCTAGGTGTGAAATAAGCATTGGGCCAGCACCGCCCAGCAATAAAGTCAAAGCTAGGGCTGGTAAAACGGGTCAACCCGCGGGTTGTGGGTTGGCCCGTGGCGGGTTGTGGGTTATGCAGTGCGGGCTCAAAAGGCCCGTTTTCTGGCAGGTTGGCATTTTGCCAACCCTAACCCACCAACCCGCCATAATTTTTATTTTTTTTTCTTGCTTTTTTTTTAAATTTTTCTTATTTTTTTAAATGTTAGTAGTTATATATAATACAAAATAAAAATACTAGAAATGATATAAAATATTACAAACATCCAAATAAAAATTACAACACAATAAAATACAAATAGTATATGATTGTCCAATTTTCCAACATGATAATACACAAGTTCACACATTTTTTTTTTTAATGAAACCAATGAGCAATATTGAATAACTTTCTTTATCTAATTATTTCTAATGACAATAAAGTTTGAAGTAAAAATTTGCTTTACTTTTGCCTTTGTTATCTATTTTTTTTAAAAAAAAAAATAGGTGCCCGCGGGTTGGCGGGCCAACCTGCCGCGGGTTAGGGTTATGGCGGTGCGGGTTATGTTTTTCAAGGTAGTGGCGGGTTGGCTTTTTGCCAACCCTAACTCGCCATTTTTGGCGAGTTGGCGGGTTGGACCCACGTATTACCGGCTCTAGTCAAAGCCACTTGATGTACCCCCCTCCCTCTCTCTTTCGGGGGAAAAATAGCAGGAGATTTAATTAAATTTTATTATAAGTTTTATTTTATTTCATATTTATAAAGTATTTTTATCAAGGATTTTTTTTTGTTAAAAGGATGAAAAACTGAACAGTGGACAGCTAAACTTTTAATTTCCAATTTAAATACGACTCAGGTGGGGAACTTGAAATTGTGAGGTAGATTTCCTTTTATTAAATAAATAATTTAAATATATATCGGTCAATAGTCATCTGATGAATACATACACATATATGGCGATTAAAATAAAAACAAGAGGGAGCACAAGATAAGAGTTATTTAAAACAAAGGCGATCAAGAAAGACTGCCTGAGGGAAAGGGAAAGAAATAATATTCACCGATTTAGGAATCTCTTTTAATTTATTCAGCTGACTATAATTAACTTATCTAAGCTGAATACGAAAATAGAACCCTATTGTTGCCACGGAATCGACAAAAGTTTAATGGTCATGGAAGTAGGGATTGGTTCCATTCCAAAATCATTAATGAATAACTTTTTCCTAATTCTTTTAATTAAAAAAAAAAAAAGGAATCAAAGGATGATAGAGCACAAGTGGACAATGGATATTTGTTTACATTGTTTTTGTTTGTTATCGGCACTTTCACACTTGAACTACCTGACATGTCCAAGAAAACACGGTGAAGATCCGCTATATATAAAATGAAAATTGCAATGAAACATACTTAGAACCGGTAATTATATTGGCCAAAGAAATTATTATCTCTTATTTTTAATATAAGATCTAGTTTATAATTCAAATTGAATTGCAAACTAGATTTTATTATAAAAGAAGGTGATCTTTTTTTTTTTGGTGAAAGACAACAAGGTAATTAAAATAATTTTAGGGATGAAATTGCACTATAAATAATTTTAGAACACTAAATGTACCTGGAAAAATAGTTTGAGATGATAGGTACACTTTAACCCTATAAAAATTAAAGTTGCTAAAGCCCATTCTACTAATATCAACACCGATTGGAATCCTCTTAATACTCTCCTCATTTGTAATTCCATCCGTTCATTTAATATTTTCATTTGTTAATATAATTGTTGCATTAAATTAAAAAATATATACCTACATCAAGTTTCTTAATGTCAAGTTCTCCAATCAAATATAAGCATTGTCATATTTTTTTAAATATTAATATTTAATTATAAATCCATATGTGACAAAAAAAACATATTAATATGTGATTAGAGAACTTGACATGATATATGTAAGAAACTTGAGCTTAGGCTTTTTTCTTAGCTTTTCCTTAAATTTAATTACATCATCTAAACTTCTGAAAGCAAACCTTTGTCACATAAGTGTAAAAAACACAAGTGATTTAATCTTATTTTCTTCCCAAGACAACATGACATCTGTATATCCTATTAGCATCTTGGTATTGAACCATACAAAGGCCACCATGGAATTTTACCAGAAAGATCCAACAACTACTTCAAAAGATGAAGACAATTGGCAGGACATAATTTCTAATTTGGTGCTTGGTAATAGAGTGGAAGTTATAGTTACTTCTGCATGTGAATTGGCAGTGAAAAATAAAGTTATCTATTTGGTGCATGATGGAGATGTTAGCAAGACAATCATGAATTGAATGTCTCGAAGAACATATACATAACTTTTCTTTTTTATTTTCTAACACTAGTCCCCAGAGTTTAGGAAAAGTTGGCAATCCACCATATGTCGTCTTATATATGCTGCATTATATGTGACTAACAGTGTCAAAAGACGCTTAGGTAGGATCCTTATTTGCTCCATGTTGGATCACAGTCAAATACACACGCACATGCATAATGCTTTTTATTATTATTATTATTATTATTTTGTTTGGTTTATGTCGAAAGATATAACATCAAATTTAGCGGATGTTCAATAAGAGATGTATGAGTTGGCTTGCCAACCATCTCTGTTTCTTCTTTGGCTTGTTAGGATGTTTATCTCTTCTTTTTTTTTTTCAATATTAGAAAACAGAGGTAAACAGAGTATTATTTAATATTGTATAAAGGACAATTATCTTCGCCTGGCTTCACTTGCATTATTCTAATATATATATACATGTATATATACATATTCAATGTTGTTCTATTATAGCATGGCATAACAAAATTTGTTCCTTAGTCGCCATCTTTCATGGACTTTGGTTCCCTTCTCATAGTTTTCATCTAAATCCACCAACTCTAACCAATACCAATTAAAAAAAAAATCTAGATCAATTAAATCTATATGCAATTGGAGAGCGGTTGAAGAAATAAGGAATTCAAGTGTAGAACAATCTACCAACCACAGCATACAGATCTTTACTTGTCTCCTTAGATCTTGATCAACATACAGATCATATTCAAATTATGCAGTTCATGCAGCGAAAGAAAGATACTGACATATAATTAGGTCTCATTTAATTCAATGGATGATCGACGCTAAGTACCATTCTCCTTCTCTCTCTCTCTCTCTCTCTCTCTCTCTCTCTCTCTCTGTGTAATCATTAACTCACATGTCAAAACGGAGAGTACTTCTGACCCATTTATATGTAGTAACCAACATATAAAATTCAAAATAACTCGTCTCGAGAATCATAGAGACTACTTTACATCTTAAGAACCAAGAAAAACGGGCAACGATAATAGTTACTTATAGCATGCAGAGTCACACGTGTGAGTTCAACTGGATTCCACTCACTCAATCCAATTTGCAACAGCAAACATTAACATGCAAAGCAAGAAGGCAAAAATAGTGAAGCACCAAGTGATTGTTGAAGGCAAAAGAATGCCCATTATTCCCATGAATCCAAAAGTCCCAATCACAAACGCAGCTTTTTGCATCCACTCAGCAATCGCAGGCTTTCTCTTATGCAACAGAAGAGCAGTTGAAGAAATAAGGAAGGCAAGTGCAAAACAAGCCACCACAACGTAATCCAGAACCTGGTCACTTTTTGGTTTTGATGAAACATTAAGATTGGTCAGAGCACCTACACATTCAACAATCAAAACTGTGAAGCCTAGTCTGTTATTATCTTCATGTGGTGGTAATGGAGAAGGGGTTATGGGCATATCAACGACGTGACTATCACTTTCCACGGAGGAAACATTAGGCCTTGTAGAATTATCAACAGAGGGGTGTGGAGAAGTGACAATAACATTGCCAGAACTGTCTGTGAGGGATCTTGTTGTGGATAAATTATGGGAAGGATTGGAATTGATTATGGCAGGATTAAGATCTTGAGCTCTCTCTCCTTGTACACCAACAATCTCCAACTGCTTCAACTTATTAGATCCTGTACATGCAAATGCTTCCAAGAATAACTAAACAGAAGTACTACAGAACAGTGATGAGATCAATATTCTTCTAAACTGTTAAAACCTGAATTAATTTGAACTTGCTATGTAATTGACACAAAACAAAAACATCATCACTATTATCATGGGCATAAAAATGGTATGACAAATTAGTTGGTGAAGAACGTAACAAGTCTGACATACATATGAACGATAAAGACTGCCTACCTTAAATTCGCAGGAGCTAATAAAATCCTGTCTCCATTTCTTACCAAATATAGATAAGCTTGTAAAAACTTTACCTTGGATTCAGTTGAAGCGGTTAGAGCGTATGAATTCAAAATGGTTCGGGTAGAGTGAGTGATCATGATCAGAGTTTCCGTACAGATCAGAAGAAGTATCTGACTGAAGAGAGGTGGTGTAGCAAATATCTGAAAGGATCAGATCTGATGAGACTTGAGAGTAATTTGTGTCTCCATTGGAGGCTTTTGACTCTTCTCCTTTTGCAGGCCTTTTAGTCAAAGTCCTTTGCTTTATCTGAGAATAGGTGTGTTTTGCAGTACTGATATGCACTGATGTTATCTGGATCCTTTGAAGTAAAAGTGAGAGATATGAAAATTGAGAGGAACCCAAACTGTGGCATGCCTCTCATTTTCTCTCATCACTTTGAAGCAAATTTACTTCAGAGAATCCTAGCTGTGGCATTGTTAAGTATCAGCATCTTAAATTATTAAATAAAATAATAATCGGTAAATATATACAAAGACAAAATTAGAAGCTATATGGTAAAATAGACAACAAAATTTTCCATCATGTGAATCCATATATGAATGATAATTGATAAACACGCAAATAGTTCACACACACATATACAAGTTAGGGTGAATTTGTTGGTCCTTTTAAGTTAGCCCCAAATGGCTAAATTCAACAATTGTTAGTTAGTTTGGCAAATCCTCATCTGAATTTAAGGTAAGGGACTACTTAATTATTATGCATAATTTAAATTCTAACCTAAATTAGCACCTAGCTATTTTTAGCTAGCTAGCTTCTAGAATATTTTGTCAAATTTAGAAGATTTATTCTTAAATACATTAATTATTTCTGACCGACATATTCTGGATGAGAGTTTAAGAAAAACAAAATAAAGCACAATTTTATAATCCGTTGTATGCATCAAAAGCAGCAAAAGCGTCACAAATTAGGAAAACATAGCAGAAGAAGACAAACTAAAGAAAGTATGTATACCTCTTCCACATGAAGATCAAAATTAGATCTTCTAATTAGAAAGATTTCAAGTGAAGAATACATTTGACATTACGCGTTTACTGTGCTTGTCTCATAAAAGAGATGTGAAACAGATGTGGCAGCATCCATCATGCTTCTCTGAGGTGAGCATCTGTGGCTCCAATCTCACTCGTTTGACCATATATATTTTGCTTGAACAATCATGCACAATATATACAAATTTGGGCTAGCTGGATATGTTTAAATCAACCCGGGATTAAATTTTGTTTATAGGAACAATCATATCAACAGATCTATCAGTAGACAACACAAGAAAAGTAAAATGTAGATAGAAACCATACCAAGTGATGTTTCTGCAGCAGGCTTCTGGCGAACTTGAGGATCAGACATTTTGATAAGGTCTTTCCAAAACTGAGGCATGTTCTGCTCAGAACCAGCATGATGAGGAGCCAACTGATCGATGGTTTGTTGGAGCATCTGAAACGAAGATGAAGCAGCTGACGAAGAAAACGCTAAATCTTGGACTACAGAAATTCCCAGGTGTTCCTGAATCAGTCTTTGTGTGTAAGACACCGAATATTGGAGATCAAACTCATGCCTTTTTTCCTCCGCGCATGATGCTAGGTTGAAGCTCTCGATGAACTTGTCAGGATCCATGGAATCATCGTCAGGAAAATGTTGGTGGTTTTGGTACTGATCCATGAACGAAACTCAAAGGCTGATGAACAAGAAAGTTAGAATCAAGGGGAAATACAGAGAAGAGAGAGCTTTCGAGTGATGAGTACTCACCACCATGAAGCAACGTCTATGGCTTTTATACAGAGATAGGGTTGATTGGTAGGTTTGAATGGGGAAAGTATAATAACCTAAAGAGTTTTTACTTTTTACTGGAGGTGGAGTTCAATAATTGGAGTGGCGTAAGGCAACTTGAAAGATCTAATGGTTGTTATCCCGAAATTTGCGGAGCTTTGCCACGTGGTACAGTTATTTCCCACTTAGATCCGTGGAGATCGAAATGATGAGATCCTGATTTATTCGTTTTTTACCGTCATGTGTCCCGCTTTATGTCCTGCCTCTCGTATTTTTGTCTCATCATTGAATTATAACATCCAAGCACACGCGTGGAGACGTTGGTTCATGATTGTGGCAGCCGGCATGGGGAAAGCTCATCTTTCTGCCGACACCCCAAATAATAATATAATACTGCTTTTAAACTTAAATTTTAATATAAGAACTAAATAATTAATTTAAAAATATTAAAAAAAATAGTTAAGTTGGTTATTTGAAATAAATAGATTCTGACTTCACTAAACTATCATATTTAACTATATACATTGTAACTACTTTTTAATTGGCAGGGATCCTCACAATCAATAAAGATATTTTACAAAAAAAAGTATAAATTTAAAAGATAAAAATGATTGAGATATTATATTTAAAGTCAATTTTCCTCCTAATTAGCTCTAATATTAAGAACTAGTAATGATGGTAGTAGTATGATGATGATAATGATGATCAAAATAATAATAATAATAATAACAATAATAATAATAATAGTAATAATAATAATTATCGTAGGTATGGTTTTGGTTCGCTGTTTCATTTTTCTGAGTACAATCCTCATCTAACTTGATTTTTAAATGGACTCTTTGATCTATTTGACCCAATCAACCCAACAAGGGGTCATCAAATTTTGTGAATAATACTAGGTATAGTTTTGTCCCAGCAAATTCATTTTTATATATAACTTGATTTTTAAATTGAATCTTCTATATTTTACCCAATTTACCGAACCTAAGTTCACTCATGCGTTGTCACTTTTGCAGCTGAACTCCTGTACCAACTCATGAATTTTGCTATGAATTCTGAAGCAAAAGAGAATTGGCTCAATAAGTAATAAACTTGTAACACACACACACACACGCTATTTTCAATTTGTCAAAATTGTGCCCTCCAACCACATAAGAATTTCAAAATACCTTTAAAGGTTAAAAATTAAAATTTACATATATAGTTAATTTTAAAATTAGTTTTAGCTCGAACACATATTGTCAAGACTGTCCCCAATCAAAGTCTTGTTTGTAGTTGGAGAGAGAGAGATAAATAATGAGCTTCCTGACAAGCGAAACTCAATTGATCAGAATCCTATGAAGGATTTTACGATAAAGTTAAATGAGACAAGAGACGTTGGATCTATCGCGTCTATATTCCTGTGCATTATCTAACTTTATCTTTTTAAAGTATTTCGAAGGATCTAGATTCAGGGTCATTTATAACGTGTTTACCCCCACCCCTTAATAAACCTTTGTTGATATGTGAATTATAATTTATCATAGACTCTAATTATAATATAATGATTAGATACAATAACACTATTTATTTATTATACTACATCTTATCCTTAATATAAGAAATAGTTAATTAATTTGAGTAGATTAAGAAAATTATTTTAGTTATTTGTAATAAATATGTGTTGTCTCTTCTAGAATACACTTAATAATCACGCGTATTAGTTATAACTACTATTTGATGAAACTTTTAACATATGCAATGTTTGTACTCCTCTAGCTTTTCAAGTCTTGGTCTTAGTGATTCATCCACCAGAGATTTTAGCTCTGAAATTAAATACTGTATCAACAAATATATCATCCTCAATATTATCAGATATATTCAGAAGAGAAATTTGTTTAAAATCATACATGTAAATATAGATTCAGTGTGTATGTACCTTCTAAACAAAGTCAGGTGAAACCTTGTGAATCATGAGACTATGGAGCTTCACATGAATCATGTATAGCCTATTGAAAATAAATCATCAATCACTGCAAAAAATTTGACTTTCAATGTCGCTGCTGAAAAGTTTCAGCAGTGACATTTTGTCACCATTAAGTCATTGCTGTAGCGATCTTGGTTGAAACTTATCAACAGCGACATAAAAAATTCGCCACTAAAAGTCTTTTTTCAGCGACGACGTTTTAAGGTGATGAGTTTGCTACCAGCAAATGTTGCCACTGGAATATAAGAATTGGTGGCGACAAAAGTGATGGACTGAATACGAAGATGAATGATGGAAGTCAGATGCTCAAAGCTTTGTATCTGAGCAGTACTGCTGAGAGGGAAAAGTGAAATTTTCAAAACATGGTGTGGGCCAATTACCAAAAACACACGTGGCTTTACTGGCAAGGGGGGTGCTAACTTTCATCAAGTCCCCTATTCGAAAAATGGGCATTTGTCAGATTCAAACACGGGACCTCTACATTAAAACAAACAGACATTGCCAGCCAAGCTAATGAATTTGATTGAAGCCGCTGGGCAATAGAAACTATATATAATATGCAACGGTATATATTTTATAAAATTTAATTAATCACACTTTAAATAAAAAATATAAATAGTAATAATATTTAATTAACTATATACATGATTTTATTAACTATATCTCTTACACATATTTTAATTAATTATATTATCTCCTTCAATAATTTTATTTCTCAATCCTCTCATATATATGTTCATCATCAAATATTATTATGTCAATTAAGTATGCTTACACTAATTTAATTATAATAATCTCTCTCATATATTTAATTATGTTATCTCTTTCAATTATAATATCCTTCTCTCTCTCTCTCTCTCTCTCACACACACACTCTATCTCTCTTCCAATTATATTTACATCTACCTCTCACACACACTTTATCCTTCACTACTTTTTCCATCACTCAAACTTGTATACTTTCTCATGCATGCCTCCATCTCATTTCTCTCCCATGCACAATGTTTTTCTATTCCATCTCTCAAACATTTGGGTATAGTATATGTGTTTTATACACATTCTAAACTTTCTTCCTCTTCCTTTCTCTCTCAAACACCACATTATCTTTTTTTTTAGTCTCTCTCTAACACAATAACACATAAAAAACAATAATTATCAAAGTTACTTAATTACACAAATAAAAGATTATAATATAAACTTTTTACAAAAAATAGAAAGTGGTAAAAAAAATGAGAAAAAACTTTCAGCGGCGATAATTGTTTTAGCGGTGACAAATAGTCTCGCCACTGAAAGAAGATTCAGTGGCAACCATTTGTCACCGTTGAAAGCATGTTTCAGTGGCGACCATATGAAAGCAATATTCATAATACACAAAAAACAATAATTATCAAAGTTACTTAATTACACAAATAAAAGATTATAATATAAACTTTTTACAAAAAATCAAAAATGATAAAAAAAATGTGAAAAAACTTTTAATGGCAACAATTGTTTTAGTGGAAAGAAGATTCAGCAGCGACCATTTGCCGTTGGCAACAATATGAAAGCAATATTCAGTGGTGACTATTTGTCACTGCTGAAAGCAATTTCAGCATCGGCAAATATTGTCGCCGCTGAAAGTCATATTTTCAGTGGTGATTTTTTTTGTCGTCGCTGAAAGTCATCACTGAAAGTTCAATTTTTTGTAGCAAATATTGTTATAAGTTGCTATTGTTGGTGTGTAAGCTCACATGACATTTTTGTGTGTGTGTATATATTCAGGTAATAGAAGATTTTTATCATAAAATAATTATTTTTTTTCCGTGCGCGCGCGCGCATATATAATATAAAGAGCATTTATCTTTTTTCTGGCTTCACTTGCAGGATTCTTGTATGTTCAATGTGCATATTGGAATCATTTGTTCTATTATAAGATGCATTACGAAGCCTAAAATTCCCTTGACAATTTTTCCCTTAGTCATCTTTTGTCAATTTTGATCCCCTTCTCATGGTTTCATCTAAATCCAGCAACTCTAACCAACACCAATTAAAAGAAAAAATTATCTAAAATCAATTAAATCTATACGCAAGAGGAAGAAGTCGACGCTAGCTGGATGATTGTTGGAGGACTGAATCAGAATCTGACATGGAAATGAGTTACATGTTATTGGAGCAAATTCCTACCAGTAAGAACCAGTTTTTACCACGCTACATGACTCATGGGAGTTTATGTGTGTGTGTGTGTGTACATAAGGATCCTTCCCTCACGAACTTTGTTCCAGAAATTATCAATTTTATAGCTAATTGACCCACCTGTGGCCAAGTCCCACTATGTCTTAGCCATGACGTCCAATACAAGATTATTAGCATTAGAGGAAAATCAAGTACTCTCCACGAAAACCATACTAAGACAAGAACCAAGAAAAACAAATGGAAAAGGGCAACCACAATGGTTACTTATAACATGCAAAGTAACACGTGGGAGTTCAACTGGATTCCTCCTCCTAAATGAAATATGCGACGGAAACATCAACATGCAAACAAGGAAGGCAGAGATAGTGAAGCACCAAGTGATATATGGAGGCAAAAGCATGCCCATTATTCCCATCAATCCAAACGTCCCACTCACAAACGCAGCTTTTTGCATCTTCATGGCAATCGAAGGCCTTTTCTTATGCAACGCAAGAGCAGTTGAAGAAATGGAGAAGGCAGGTGCAGAACAAGCCACCGCAACATAAATCAGAACCTGGTCATGTCTTGCTTTTGGTGAAACAGCAATATTTGTCAGAGTAACTAGAAGTTCAACAGCAAAAAATGTGGAGCCTGGTTTGCTATTATCTTCATGTGGTGGTGATGCAGAAGGGTTCATGCGCATACCATCAACGATGTGACTATCACTTGCCATGGAGGGAACATTAGGCCTAATTTGGAGAAGTGACAATATTGCTAGAACTGTCCGTGAGAGATCTTGTTGTGGACAAATTATGGGAAGGATTGGAATTGATTATGGCAGGATTAAGATCTTGAGCTCTCACTTCTTATACCCCAAGACTCTGCAACTCCTTCAAGTTAGTTCCTGTACAAGCAAATGCTTCCAAGAATAACTAAACAGAATCACAGAACAATGATGAGATCAATATACTTCTAAACTGATAAAACCTTAATCAATTTGAACTTGCTGCGAAATTGACACGAGATAATAACTTTACTATTATCATGGGGCAAAGAAATGGTATGACAAATTAGCTAGTGAAGACAGAGATATGAAAGATAAAGAACACAGCCTACCTAAAATTTGCAGGAGCTAAGAAAAGCCTGTCACAATTTCTTATCAAAGATAGATAAACTTGTAAAATCTTGACCTTGGATTCAGTGGAAGCAGTTCGAGCATATGAATTCCATGGTTTAGGTAGAGTGAATGATCTTTTGGCCAAAATAAAAAGGTAGAGAGAATGATCATGATCAGAGTTTCCGTACATATCAGGAACATTTGACTGAAGAGAGGTGGTGGTAGCAAATATCTGAAAGGATCGGACCTGATGAGACTTGAGAGTTTGCATCTCCTTCGGAGGCTTTTGACTCTTCTCTTTTCGCAGGCCTTCAAAGTCCTTTGCTTTATTCGAGAGTAGGTGCGATTCGTAGTACTGATATGCACTGATGTTACCTGGATACTTTGAAGTGAAAGCAGAGCGAGGTCATCACTTTAAAACAAATATACTCCACAGAATCCTAGTACGGACATTATTAAGAATCAAAATCTTAAATTATTAAACGAAATAATAATTGGCAAATATATAGAAAGACAAAATTAGAAGCTACATAGTAAAACAGACAACAAAAATTTCCATCATGTAAATGCGTATTGATAAACTCTTTTTTTGTATCGGAATTTCCTATTATTTTGGAGGAGTTTTGTTATTAATATTGAGCATAATTGAGTATTTTGAGTGGATTTGGGAAAGAAAATAATTTATGTAGTCTGTGAATAAATGATTTTAATATGTTTTTATTTTCCAGAATTTTATGATTGCAATTATTGATAATGCAATTGTCAGGCTGGGGACTAAAAGGAGAATGAGAAAGAAGTTGAAGGGCAGTTTAGGCAGCGTGGGATTAGAGGCTAAGCGCTGTGTTTTGGAACTCTGGTTTTAAGGGTTTTGGAAGCTCATTCATTGGAGGGAGAGATGTCCATCGTCATCTGAAGCACCTCTCCATCTCGCGACTTCGCCTCACCACCATCCTTGTCATCTCCGCCCTGGACACATCACCACTTCGAAGTTCCGTCTCTCTCCATTTTTCACTTCCTCCATCACTTCCACCGTGCCTGAAACGTTCTTCCATTCTCTAGCAGTGCAGAGTTGAAGCATGCGCGGCTAATCTCTCCTATTCTTCCTAGAGACGAGCCGAGCCTGAGTCCTTTTTTTGATTGAAAGGAGTGTCCTCTAGATTCTTCGCTCTAGTCTGAATCTATAGCTTGATTGAGCGAGTTGTTCATTCCATGTTATAGTTTCAGGATTGATTTCGATTTACAGTTTATTGGAGCTGTAGAATCTGTTTAGGTTTGGTAGGATGATATTTCATTTGTAATTTTGAGTTGAGATTACTTCTTCTGATTCTGAGATTATGTTGTGTTATGGATTCTGGATCGATTTCATACATTTTCCCATGATTCATTTAATCGATTCTATAGCAATACATGGTTATAGCTGTTGGTAGAAGGATTGACTTATCATTTTATTTTTCCTGAACCCTGAATCGAATGATTCTAGCCTTCTTGTTGATTCATATGAGTTGTAGTTTTGGCACTGAGGGAGCCAACGACTGGTTGCCCAAGTCTTTCATTTGGTTGTCGAAAGGCACAGCACATTTCTAGGAGAACAGTCATTCATATTGGAATTCTATCATTCACTTCCATCTCGTTTAGATAAATCCGAAAATATAAACATTTATATCCTGCATTTATGAAAGCAGAAAATAAAATAGATATTCATTTGCTTGCATCTTTGATTTGTTAACTTGTTAGTTAGTGGATTAGTTAAGAAATTTTAACCATAAGAAGACTCCTTGTGAATTCAACCTAAGTTAGGTTGTTATATTATATTTAGCTTAATTTTAGTTTCTTTGACAGCCCCTATGACATGTTTTCCACATATATGAATAATAATTGAATATGCAAGTGGTGCCTATACATACACAGGGAAAATCAAACCAAGATTAGATTTTGCTTATACTGAGAACCATGTCAACAAATCTATCAGTAGATAACTGAAGCAGGGTAAAATGTGAATTGAAACCATACCAAGTGATGTTTTTGCAGGCTCCTGGAGAACTTGAGGATCAGAAATAACCATGCTTGATAAGATCTTTCCAAACTTGGGGGATGTTATGGTTTATTGTGGTATCAGAAAACTGACGGCAAAAGCGCTAAATCTTCCATGACAGAAATTCCCAGGTCTTTTTGAATCTGTCTGCGTGTGAGAGAGAATGAATATTTTAGATCAAACTCTAGCATTTTGTTCTGCTCACGTGATGTTTGGATGAAGCTCTCTAAGAACCTGTGAGGATCCATGAATCAAACGAAGATATATTGTTACTATATATAAGTGAAGTCACTTGTAATATGATTCCAATTTTACCCTTTTATTTTTTTTTCGGTGAATCCATTTTACCCTTTTAATTTAATAAATGCAGAGAAAGATATAAAGTAAATAAGTGAGAGAATATATAAAACATATTTCCAATACTTTTCTTTAATAAAGACAAATATGAAAAAAAATCATTAATTTAATACATTTTTCACTTTGCATGCTTGAAATTCAAATGATTTATAAGTAACAACAGAGTAGTAGGAGAGAGAGAGAGTTTTTAAGTGAATCAGTTTTTGTTAGTACTACCTCTGGCTCTTAATATAAGACTCTGTCTGACTTTTATTTTGATCCTAAATATAAGACCCTAATCCACTTTGTCTCTCATATTTATGTATTTTTTTCAAGGTAGTCCTTCTAATAATTGTAGTTCTAGCCAATGTAGTTGATTAGTAAGGATATTTAGGAAAAACAACACTTATTTATTATAAATAACTACCTTAACTCCTTTCCTTAATCTCTTCAAATTAGTCAACTAGGTCTTATAATTAGAAGTAATATAATGATTACTAAATAAATGCAGTGTTTTTACGGGAAGTAATGGAGTTGAATAATTGGAGTCGTACGAGGGATCTGGAAAGATCTTCTATCCCGAAAATTGCGGGGCTTTTGTCATCTTGTACAGTTATTACCCACTTTGGATCCTCGTTTATTAGGTTTTGAGTCAAAACTTTTGCCGGTTGCATGTCCCATAACGAGGGGCAGAGGAGGGTAGATGGCGCGGCCGTGCATGGTCATGACTCATGACATATGAATAAAAAACAAACATGCATAGAGGCGCTGGTTGGCAGCCAAATGTGGCAAGTTGTTCCTATATTTTTATTATAGAATAAAATTATCCAATCGTCACCCATCAATTAAACTAATTTAACAAATTTATGTCTTAAATATGCTTCCACTATTTTACATTTTTATTTTAATGGTCTTTTTTGGCTAATATTTAATTAGAAATGCCACATTTATAGTAGGTCATTTCACATCTTAATAGGATAATATTAGAAAAATTAAAAGTATTCCTCATCAAATTTTATAATTTGTCTTATAAATAGAGATAAATCATCTTTCAAAGTTTTGTCCCATGAATAAAGAAGACCAACTTTTTAGTCCCTCAAAAGTTCAAACTTGATGACATGGTAGTCATGAAGTTTCAAAGGGGAAAATTCATCAAGTTTCAAAAAAAAGGGAAATATGAAAAGGGATTTATTCAATTCAAATGCTAGTGTCACCAAAGTTTCATTTTCCTTAATGAGGACCAATGGCACAATCTAGGACAGTGAATGAATTAATCAATGGTGTTAAAATATGTCTTAGCCACCCTGATGCGACTTGATGGGCCCTCGTTCATTCTTAACCTTCAACCTCGCCACTTCATATTTGAGATAAAATATGTCTTAGCCACCTGCCCTTTTACTATCTTCCCCACAACCAGAGACCCAACTATGAGCTGGACCTGGACTCAATAGCAGGAAATAATAGAAACAAAAATGAAAGCCATGCAAGTGCTAACATTATACATTATCCAAATACAGTTTAGTCTAAATTTAAAATTTTGAATTCATCATTTTTAAGTCAAAAAATGGCTTTTAACAAAAGTTAACAGGTCAGGAATTATTTTTATTTTGGATTTTATACCCACTAAAAAATTTAAAAAACAAAAAACAATTTATATCAGGACACTCCTTCATCATTATGATGGGCACGACATACAAGAACAAAAAAGCAGATGGAAAGGGTTAATCCCTCTTAAATTGGTGAACTAAGATTTGAATCCCCCATGAAAGAGATGTCCACATTTAGTATCCGAAACTTCAATAGAATTGCTTTGCATAGAAGAATACATAGATATATATATTAAGGAAGAAAAAAAAAAGCAGCTGGATGAGGTGAACATAGTCCAGCCACCAGCTCTGTGAGCGAAGAATGTTTAGAATCACCATAACACCTTGGGAAAGGTGGAGAACCAGTCTTCAAGACATGCCACTACGGGCGTCTATATCCCAAGGGACACTGAAACAACTTCCCGGCGCACCCAGAAGCTAGCAAAACATAGCAACAATCCCGTTGAATCAAGCGAGAGGAATCTAGTTGAATTCACACATGTTACTTTGCATGTTATAAGTGACTTTTGTCGGTTCCCTTGTCCATTTGTTTTCCTTGGTTCTCGTCTTAGTATGATTTTCATGGACAACACTTGATTTTCCTATAATCCTAAAAATTGCAAGTATAGATTGGAGGAATAAATTTTGTCAGGGGCCTTTTTAGTCTCTGTCATGCATCTTATAGTAGAACCGATGACTCAAATATGCACATTGATCGAATATATAAGAATACGGCAAGTAAAGCCAGACAAGATAATGGCTCTGCCTCATCACATTCTGCAAGCAAAAATCTTTTATCTATCAGCTTGGCTCTAACAACAGTTGTGATTACATTTTTATTTGAGATTTTCTTTTTCACATTCAAAGACTGCCTATAAAAATATGTTCTCGGATACATTCAATACATGATTCTCTTGCTAACATCTTTATCATATACCAAATAGACAAGTGTATTTTTCACTTTCAATTCACAAGCAAAAGTGACTAGAACCTCCACTCTGTCACCAGGCTCCAAATTAGAGATTATGTCTTGCCAATTATCTTCATCATTTGAGGCACTTGTTGCATCTTTCTGGTAGAATTTAATGGCACCCTTTGTACGGTTTGATACCAAGACTCCAACAGGATATACAGATGTCATGTTATCTTGAGAAGACAAATATATTACGCACAGAATCAATCCTTTCAAGCTTTTGCCAATAATTTGAGGAACTTCAAAGAATATCGAAGATCCTTCACCTTTAAAATTCTGCCAATGAGGATAATTGTCTCCAGGAAGAGAATTAACTCCAAACCCTCTTTCATTGCATCCCTAAGTCATAAACATAGCAAAGAAGAACCCGATTAACCGTACATATATACCAGAATGTATTATGCACAGATGGGCGTTTAGGTACAGAAGATATTAGCACTCACTCTTGAACATGTACATTTTTAAACACCAAACAAAATGTGCTTGAATGCCATCGTTGGAAGCAAATATTTCCAGACGAAGTCAGCTACATTACAAGCCAATATTCGAATGCGGAGTATAGTATGCTTTAAAACCTTAAGAAGCAATCATAAGCTATTCAATTACATGCATCCCTAGATTATGTACATATCGAACATTTGACGCTATTTTAAACATAATTAACACTTTCAAGATGCCTTCTAAACACTTAACAGCATAATCAAGGGGGATTGTTACGTACTTAGATGTGCACATACATTATTATAAGCGTGTGTCTTCCAACATACATGCGCACAAATGAAATTAATAGAAACACGCATTGAACATTTAAGTTAAAGATGTATAAAAAGAAAAAGACGTTCTTCCACATAGCCCAAATAAATTATGCTTTAGTAGAGAGATAAAGAGAATAACCTGTGCAACACTTTTTAAAAGTGTGTCAATGACTCGGTTGAGCTCACCTACATGAATAGTGAGAGAACTCGTGAATGTTTCTGATCTTTTCTTGTAAACTTGCTCGTGAAAACCAATCAATGCCGGCGTCTTTTTATGTGAAGCTTGAGATGTTCTTGATATTGCTTTGAACAGTTTATGACTTTTGGCAAACAAAGGATGTGAAACAAACTTGATTAACGATGGCGTGATCCCAAAGGCTTGACAAAAGGACTTTGAATGATTTGTTGGGGGCATCCACGACAAAAAAGAGATGGAAATACATCACGGGGCAATCCTTCATAACCACATAAAGAAACATATTTAATGTTCTTCAGTCTCATTATTGAGATAGGTACTTGTGTTATAGCAGTGTGACTGGCTCCCAAAATCATTAAGGATTCCATTTTCTCAATGTCTTCATCCAACCTTTCAATCTTGGAGCAACCAAAAAGATTGAGAGTTCTCAATGACTTCAAGTCATATATACCTTTTGGGAGCTGCTCCAAGCCAATGCAATTTTTCAAATTTAACATAATAAGATATCTAAGATTCCCAATGGAAGGGTGAATCATACACAAACGTGGACAATCTTTAAGTATCAGCTTCTCAAGATACGGTAGTTTTGAGAAGTTAGGTGTTTCTGTTAGGCAATGAGAATGACCCAAATTGAGAACTTTCAACCATTCCATCACCTATGCAAAGAGATCATCTCAAAGTAAAAACCATGCGTATAATAAATAAACTAACAGAATAGATGGAAAAATAGCACAAATCGTCTTTACTAGTGTTTAATTCCAAAAGTTCATTGCAAATACCTGGTTTTTCAGCCATACTTTTGTGAGATTACTCCACTTTAAGTCAATGGCAACTGTCTTTTCTAGATTGAAGTCCGTTGGCAAGTTTTCTAAGAGAGAGTTATGCCAACAAAGCCATCTCAATCTTTTGATAGACAACCATAGTCTCCGTTAAGCTGTACATGATCAAAGTTGAGTAGAAGAATCCTCTTCATATTCTCAAATGCCTTGGTACTCAAGGATACTAAATTATTTCTTGGCATGTTTAAAGACAACCCCTTAATAGTCATTGTTCCCTATGAAATAGGTAAAGAGGAGAAAACAAAAAAAATATAACCCACAATCAGCAACCGGATAGCATAATGAATGATGAAAAAACAAGTATGAAGATTATTTAAATGCGAAATTAGTAAATTGTGCAATAAAGTTGTTAAGAACATTCTTACAATGTATTTTCTAACACATTCAACACATCATCCTTAGACCACAATCTTGTACGCTTCTCTAGCTTCGTTGGCGATTGCTCACGAACTATTTCTCTTCCCATATCACGTATTAAGTCATGCATATCAAATATATTTTTATTTCCAAACTTTACAACTTTTACAAGGCTTCGCTCGATTAGGTGGGTAATTCCAACTTCTGCATGAAGTCCACAACCATCTAACTTGAGTAGCATAGCTTCTATCCTTCCCAATGAAGAAACAACATATGTCCAAGAATAGCTCTTGCTCTATTTGGTCACTCAAACCATCATAACTTATTTTTAGAATTTCATGTATTTTACCATTTGGAATTTGTTCCAATTTATTCAAAGCGCTTTCCCAATAAGGTATTTCCCTATCAAAACAAATATGAGCCAAGGATCTCGAGAGCTAGTGGTAGGCCTCCTGAGTATGATACTACCCTTCTTGAAAGTTCATTAAAATTTCTTTCAGGAAGCGCTTGCTAAAAGCATGCCAACTGAAAAGTTCAATAGATTCATTATCATCCATTCCCCTCACATTGAATACTTTATTCACTTGAAGGATTTGAAGCAGACGTTCATCTCTAGTAGTGACAATTATTCTACTGCCTTGTCCAAACCATTCACGTCTCTCACATAAAACTTTGAGCTGGTCTTCATGATCCACATCATCTAATACAATGAACTCTTTTTTGACAAAGAATTTCCTTGATTAGAGATTTTCCCAATCCTACATTTGGTATATTGATTCTTCTTGTTTCAAGATGCTAGAAAGAAGTTGCTCTTGCAAATAGACTTGACCATTATCATGCTTCCATACTTCCCTAATATTTGCAAGGAAACTCTTTCCCACAAAACTTTGGCCCATTTCATTGTAAATAGCTTTAGCCATCGTCGTCTTACCCACCCCCACCCATCCCCCAAATTCCAATTATGATAATCTCATTTGATTCACAACTTAGCAATTGGATGATATCTTGCACTCGAGAATCCAAACCCACTGGATGGTGAGCAAAACAAAACTGTATTGCTGGTCTAGCCTCATTGTGACAGTTTAACAATATCATCAAGTAACTCAGCCTCAGTTCTGGCAACAACAACGAATTAGATGACTAGAATTGTACCCCGATGCATTAACATGCACAGGACAAAACTATA